TAGAACGCAATTTAAAATAAATTTTAAATAATTTCTAAAAGATTAATTTTAAACAACATTAATATAAGCATAACAAAATTTAAATAACAAAAGCGCGAAAGTAAGAAACAAACACAGAAATATGAAATAATATACAAATTCTTATATAGTATTACCATTTATTTTACGTTCATGAAGCGCAATAAATTGGGAACTGGTGACTACGGTTATCGCCAAATTACTCAAACAAGACTCATGTTTTCAAGAAATTCAAAATTACCTTTTTTAAAGATCTTTTTTTGATGAATGCACAATTACGCGAAAATACTCAAATTTTTTAGGAACAGATTTTACTAAGGAAAAAATTGCTATATTTAATATTTCAGCTGTAGGAAGATATCTAAAAACAATTTTCGGAAATTTGGCGGAAAATGTCGAGGATTTGTTTCTAAATTTAGCATCTGGATTTATCCACTTTTGTGTTACCTGGGGTCTGCAATAAGTGTTTCCCTGTCGAAAATTCGCCGTTTTTTCCCAACCTTTCTCTCTACCGTGGTAGAGATAGCAAAAAAGGAAAACAATATTTATGACGGAATACATTTATCTATTATTTATCTGACTAACATTTTGATTTCTTACTTTAATAAAGCTATGGCTAATGACATGAGAACTTTCAATTTCTTCATGTTTTTTATCTTCAATTAAAGTATTGTCAGAGTCTTTAATATTTTCCATCAGAACAAATTAACGTATCAGGAGGTATGTTCTCATTCCTGAGTTTTTTCGTTGATTTTTTTTTTACATTTATTAGGTTATAATGGTTACGTTTAGTTATCATCAGTATCGTCTTGACTGGACCTTTCTGGGCAATTATCTGAAATTGGGCAATTATCTATAATATGTTTCACTACATAGTAAATTACTAACAAGTTAACTATTAGAAGTGAATGATGATATAGATACAGTGGCGACACCCTGAGGTAAAGAAGGTAAGCAAACCTTACCCAGATGAATAGGTACTAGATTTTGCTCATGAGTACAAACTTTAACGGGATTTGATGACTATTGGGTAACTATAAAATGAAAGCCGCTAAATAAATGTCACTATTGATATTTCAGTTTTCTCTGATACAAAATCCATCGACATGTTCATCCACAAATATTGAATTATGAGTAAGCTGGCTTGTTCAGATAATAGAACTGACCACTCAATTGTCGAAAATCTTAGTGTTTTCCTTCAATCGTCTTTCAAAGCAAACTCGTCCCTCCATGATATGATCAATGTGTATCCTCGACGACACGGTTAGCTTATCCTCTCCACAATGGTCAACTTACTCAGCTTGATACAGATATACAATAACATTGTGTGAAAATGTAATATTGTTTTATTACTCGCATCGATCTGAGGTATAAATGGATTCTGAAAAATGCTCATCGCCTGTAGTTAATATTCTTTGATTTAAATAGGTCAAACAAAATTCATGTGTCCAAAGTATAAACATATTTTTATTAATTTTGAAAACTGTTGTTTTAGCTGCATAAGAAATTTGACCTCTCTAAAAGCAAACACCGTACTTCACCAGAAGTCTTCGAAATAATACATTAATAGAGGACTAAACTTACAACTGATTTTCTTGGAGGTAAATTTTTTAAGGAATAAATATTAACATGTGATGACCTCAGTAAATTAAAGTTTAAAGATATTAAGCTATTTTAGCATTAGAGTGACTTTTTAATAATTATTCTTGAACAACAAAAAGTAAACTTCTCTAACAAAACTTATTTTTTCATTCCTTAACAGAATAAAATTGGAATAAAACTTATAATATAATATCACTACTCAACGAAGCTACTTTATTATTAAGAAACAGATCAACTGTAACTATAAAACACTAGTTTGGCTGGAACTTTTCTCTGTTAGGAAAGGGGGGAAATTATCATATATGTTGCCACGGGGATCCCCAATTCTCTAGTTCCGTCTCTGATTAACTGAACTTTGACAAAACTTACGTTTCTTACGTAATTAGTTATTTCCTATACGACTACGACATTTAAAATCAATGTATCGTTTTAATTTTGCTTCATTACGTTAAAAGTACAACTCTGTTAACCTCGGTGTAGGAAACTCTAATGGTGAACCTAAGGACATAACCCCCTCACTCGCTGATTAATATGTAATAATCTTGTTGAGATGTTCATGGGTGCTTTAGGTAAATGTCGCAATTGAAACAATAATGATTATTTTGCATCTTCAAAATATGTATGAAGTGGGCCAAATCACGACACAAAAAGTAGGTATTTGTATGTTTCGAGTACGAATACTAATATCCAACACACTTGTTACAAGTTTACATAAACTATATTCACTTAAGAAAGATGTTCTCAAGGTAACTTACACACATTCAGAAATTGTAAAAAAATTCAAGTAAAACCCTAAATACAAGATGCAATCTTCATTGTAACCAATACACCGCAGATCATTCCAACAGTTCGTGAACGGTGAAGACTTTATAGGAGGGAGTCTGGAGCAAAAGACCAACGAGAGCCGCCACTGCTGCAGAGAAATACTGAATTGTTTTGTTAGAATCAGGAAATTTAACATTGATGCATATTATTTACACACTACTATCATCCCTCAAGCATTATGAAGTACAATTGAACCTTACAAAAATATCAGTTTATTGACTGAACAAAACAATTCAGTTGAGGCCACATGAAACAGGTCATTGGTAGTTTACAAATCTGTGGGAATGTTTCACAAATTCAGTGATATTTGCTTGTTTATGACATGGGCCTCATGAAGCATTATGGAGACTCCGAAGCGGTCTTCATGTGGAGAACCTTACAATAGATTTCGCTCCACTATTCAATCCTGACTTTGGTATAGGGTCGTGAAAAATCTAAATTTGGTTTTGTACTCAGAAAGTGATGCCAATAAATATTTGTTCGGTAATGACGTTACGCGACGTACATTTTCGAGAACATTTTATTTAGTCCTACCTTATGTATGTTGTAAAATATGGTAAAAAGTAAGCCACACAAAAGAAGTACGGTACACTAATATTTTTCATTTTCTGTTTTTATATATAAAATCATAAGAAACGAGATATTTACTAAAGAATCTTTACTGAGATTACTGGCAATAACATTAACTGCAAAAAAATAACACATAATCACAATCACACATAATTTTTAGCCATTTATGGTCTGCATATTATTTACTAATTTTTTTGTCAATAAGAAGGGGAACACACACATTATATAGTATACAATATCACATATTATTTATTTACATTTCCGAGAAACATAATACGCACAACTTCAGTTATTTGTATTGAATTCAAACAATTTCTATTTTTTATGATACATTGCCGATTTTCTATTTTCTGTATTATATACTTATTTCTAAAGATTATGCATTATTAATGAGGTATTTGGTTTCAAAATTAGAGATTAGAATTTATACGTAAAAGGCTAAATAAATCACGTATGAAATTAATTACATCAATGGTAGTGGAAGCGGCTTTCTATGTAATATTTTTAAAATGTTTACATAATGATGGACATTTCTTGTCATAAATATAATTTCAGAAGGCTTCTTAGGCCCATTTTCTCAGATTCGTTGTCAGATACGTGACTTTTAAAACGACATCTTGTTTTGCGACAGCGGCTACTATCATCTATATGTGTTTTTTACATCATGTGAGGTAGATGCACCCACCCTATCACAGTCAACATTGTCTTCATCAATAGAAAGATTACTCTGTTGCATCGTGATTTAAAATTACGTGAATATCAATATCTACGTTTTCAAATTTACCAGTAAAACACCAAACCGTAGTTCAGAGCACCATGTCCATCCTGATTTTCAACACGTTTCACTCTACTTCCAATCAGCACAGATGAGTCCAGTAACCCTTGGCTTCAGGAAACGAAATGGTATCTTTTTTCCTGCTAACAGCAAATACCATTTCCTACATCTTCGATTTTTTTTAAATCTTTGGTTATAAAAGTATAGCGGTTATTTTGGAGACCTTTTCTAAAGCCTTTTTTCAATTGTCGTTCAAAATCCGTCGACTCTGGGACCCGCTTTGTCTAATTTTGTGACTGATGTCTAATTTTGGCTATTGGGTGTAATATGATGACAAAGAGTACAACTTCAAAATCTTCCCATCTGGAAATCTTGTTTAAGCTCTATTAGTACCGTCGGAATCGACGATCAAGGCGCCAACTATCGCTTTGCTGCTACCAATTCTACGTCAATCCATTTTTAGCGCGTCGGGCGCACAGAGAGAATGAAGTGATGGCAGTGAATTTCTCAGTAATTGGTCATCGAGCGATCAAATTAGCTTTATATCAAAACTTGCTGAAATGTACAATATCAATCTGTCTGAAGCAAGAAGTGAAGCGGGGCGTGGAGAGAGAACTGCCATTGCAAATTTCAGAGGGCGGATTTGCGGCGGTATTATCTTCCTCGTGGTCAGGGAAAAAACCGAAAGGACAACGTCAGATGGTCCGAGAAATTCGATGAATTTGTAAAGCAGAACTACCAAGTTTTGCTCCCGAACCTAAAGTTCAATGTGACTCGCGCCAGCGCATTCGAGTTGGAGAGTTCAGCAAACACAGACCCGATAGTTGGTATCTAGAAAGACAAACCCCTGATGATAGTGCTCTCCAGAAGGAGAGTTTCTATCAATATAACTGCTTGCAGCAAGGCCTCCGGATACGAGAACAGCGAAGCGCATCGACGAGCATGTTCTCTCCTACATAACATCCTTCACGTAAAACACGATTTCTTTCCAAATACCAGTGCTTATCAGCCTAAAAAGACTGGTAAGTTTCACACACAGTCTTTCGAGTGAACACAGAAAACTATTGTACATTAGGTACATAGAAAGGGAGTAATTAATATATCTTTAACATACAAAATAACAGCGTATTAAACAAATGTTCAGAGAACAAGAGTCAACTAATCGTCTGTTTTTCAAAGGTATCTATGCCAAACAGCAATATCAACTCACCGTTCTGATGGTAAGACATTCGTTATCGTCGGGGCTGGGAAACGCCATCTATAGGCATCTCTTGCGGCCGCAATGAGGGAGCTTGAGTTGGGATGTTCGTACTGGACAAAGAAACATTAAAATTACTGTGTGTGAGTGATGCAATTACAAATTCAATGATTATTACTGAAATTACTGATGTTGGCTTAATCAGTAATGGTCAAACTCAAAGATTTCAATGTGAGACATGCACACGGGTCGACCTCGATAGTGAGTCTGGATAGTGTGTCAACCCCTGCATTGGCGTGGCGTTGAAATTTTATCGCAGAGGTTTCTGCGCGACGTACGTCGTATCTGCTATTTTCAAATTAACTTATTTTTCACGTTCCTCTCTCAGTCAGAATGTAAAGCAATTCAAGAAAAAAAGAATTTGAGATTTATCGAAGTGGATTGAAAATATCGCTAACGAGTTTGGTGCAATTAGACATTTTAGAGCTAGAGGACTCGCGGTCTGGCGATTGAAATCAGCTAATCTCACCCAACGAGGTACAAGACTTAAGAGAAAGATTATTTTGAGATCAATATACCATAAATATACAGAAGCTTTTCTGTCTCAATTAAAGCGGGAATCAAAAATATTCGAATTATTGCAAATTTGAGGTTACCCAATAAATGCATTTCATTATGTTAAAATTTAAATACATTTTCTGTAATTGACATAATACTACTATGTTTTCTTCTACCAGAAAATAAAAAAAATATCATAATTCAATTATTTAATTCAATTATTAGTGTCCATTTTCGAGGACACAATATTTTCTTATTTTTCTAAAATTTAGGAAACGAAAGTATTTCATCCGAAATCTTTAGCTTCCGTACGAAAGGTGTGGGAAGAGTGTAACTTTCGCAAGTTTCAGAATTTCAGAGGATTTAATAAAAACTGAACTTGCTATTTCTTTAACCCTTTACTTAATTTGAACAATAAATAAATAAAAAGCCAAGCCGTTTTCAAGATTATTAACGTATTCTTAATTGTCTTGATTTTATTCAAAATTACGAAATTTCTTAGAAAAATCCACACTTTTCGAGCAGCCTTACAACAATTTATCTTTACTACGTAAGTGGTATGCGATGAAGAAATAGTTATTTACGAAATATGTATTAAGATGTACAACGTTTCATCCACTTTGTAAACATTTCAATGACCTTCAATTTTCCTTTAAATTTGACTCCTTATCCTACAAAAGGTGGCGTACTGATGTTGATAGTAATATTGGGCCGTGATTATTGGTGGGACTTGTCTTAAAAACTCTTGATAGGAAAATGATCGCAATTTTGTAATGTTTGACTTTAATAAATCAAAGTGAATAAAACATTTGAAGATGATACGTAGAACACATGACGGAAATGAAGGAGACAAAACGTAGGAATGTAATCAAACTGACAAGATATGCATAAAGAAGTGGTAGGAGAAATGTGGAGGAGGAAGAGAAGTATAGACGCACATAACGTATGCAAAGATGATTATCTTCAACAAATGATAGTGTATACATGTTCGTCACAATGATTCGACTAATACCCACAATTATATTGCTACCCATATTGTCCCTTACGCATTACACTAAATTATTGCGGGTAAAAATGCTGTTCAGCAACTTTACAACCCTGTTATATGCTGGATTTACGGTCCAATATTAAGATTTTTGGATGTAATCAGGGAAAATTTAGTAACATGTCTAAGTCAATACACGACACAATATTGAGTAGGGAAGGGAAAATATTACACATTTAATCTTGTTTAATTGACTAAGTACGGGAGACCTTGGCAGTTTTGGCTCCAGTTAGATAGTTTCTTTGCTGAACCCAGATTTAATTATGGAAATTTTAATTTTTTCTATGGAAGTTATTTTTCTGGGGCTTCCTTTCAGGAATGTTTTTATTTCTAAAGATTCTATCAAACTTCTTCAAAATTTCAAAACTTGAAAATATGCTAATAAATCCTAATTGGAATTGTTCGGAACAGACCTAGGGGCAGTTTGGCACACTATTTAGTAAGGGTGGAAAGTAATATATCACTATCAGCCCGAATCATTGTTCAATATTTTATTTGAACAACTTAACATACATCTCTTACACGATCTATCAATGTAATGTAATCAATATCAAGTTCTACGATGAGGTTAGATTTTTAGTCTTCTTAAAATAAAGTAGTAAGGAAATTTCATGCTGAAGCCGATGGCTCATTTACTACTTTTCTGTTTTGTTTTGTTTTGTTTTGTTTCCGATTTTATGAGATCGAAAGTAAAATTTTTTTTAAAATGTTAACTATCCGAACATTCTCAAATGCAAACACAAATGCAAATGCATTCAAAATACAACTGCAGATTTGGCAGAATGAAATGCGCTACCGAACTTCTACTGTGGACAATGTTCATGGTGTCCAAAGGGCAAAGCTCCTCGCACCGTGGAGGGAAGTGGAGGGGATGGTGGGGGAATGGTGGGGAGGGAGAGGGGAGTGGTGAGTGAGGGGCGCCCGGCTCGCAAGAAGCCCTTGCATACACTGCCCGGCGCGCGAGGGGCTTCGTTGGGGCCAACCACAGCCGCTTACGCCTTACGCACAAATCTCACTGGGCCAGCGGAGCACCACAGGCCACGACGGCACTCGCGGATGTGGTGAGTGCCAACGAAGGGCTCGATTTCCCAATATCGAACCCACTACACTGATAAACAAGCTATGAATACCTGGCATTGTGGTCCGTTTTCTAATGTGTTTATGTTGATTTCAAATCTGAAATCCGTTTTGCTCTGTCAGGTCAGGTTTTTAAGATATTAACAAAATTTAATTTTCTTGAAACATCATTCATGAATTTCTTATCTCCTTGTTTTTTGTATTTTTTTCACTCAACGACACAATATTTTCGTCTCTGTGAACAAATGTGAATTTCAAGTAATATGTTAAAGTATATTCGATATCGGATTACTTTACAAGCAATAACATCTCACTAATTTTTTTTCCCCAGACTAAGCAAATCAAATTTACTGTAGAAATACTCAATACCGGTTCGTCTAAACTAATCTTAAAGATTAACTGACCATCAATATGACACCTACATCTTCCTTTGAATGAATTCCTTCTAGACCGTATAATTTTAACGAATTTTATAGTTGAAATAAATAGACGTTGATTTGATATACGACAACTGACATTTATCAGTGTTTCAAAGGCGTTTGTTGAGCGTACACCATACTGAAAAACCATCAGTGTCGAACTTGAAGGTTGAGACAATCATGCACATTATTACAGATAAAAAAGCTTCATGTCATTCGCATAGATTAATAAATCAAATTTAATTCAACTCTACATATGTCCTCGAAACCAAGTATTTACAATGTCTGACACACCTGACAGCCTAGTTAGTAACCGTACAGATTAAATCTTAACTTGTATCACGCTGTGTTGCACAACGAAGTAAAAATGCATAAAGTTGTTTAAAGCGGTCCTGCCATCTGGTCGAACTAGCTTGCACGACATCTGTTAATAAAATGTAAATGTATAAATAAATAAAAAATGTAATAAAACGTCGCCCGCCCACATTCGCCCACCGATCGCCATCAAGCTATGCTTGACTAACAATGCTTCTGATTAGCTGCAGCTTCTCGCCTGAAGAACTTTATTTATTTATCCGAATCTTATTTATCTTTTATTTATCTCTGAAGAGCTTTATTTATTATTTCAGAATTATTAATTCTTTATTATCCGAAGATGAGCAGAAACAATAGTTCAAAATCAATGTATAACACATCTTAGTTCCTTTATTAGTAAAATACAGAAATACAGACAACTCAGATTGTCTTCCTCTCACTTCCAAGCAGGAAGCAACTTGCTCGCTCACTTCGTCGTCGTTGCCATGTGTAGACACAGCTCCGCCAGTTTTTCGAGAAAGATATGTCGTTTATCCTCACAAAAGATACTCATAACTCGCAATGTGTGTTGCGCGTTTTATTATTAACAAACACTCGTGTGAAATTCAACTGTAATGTGAATATTTAGTTTTCAAGACGGAATTTTGTGATCGAGCTAATTGCTTTCATTTTCGTGTTCACTGCCATGATGGTTGGTGCTATGATTTCGGGTAAAATGTATCGTTTATCCTCCCGTTACCTCATAAATCGCCAGGTGCAATGAATGTTTGATCTAATGAACACTTGTGTGATGTTGAACTGCAATGTGAGGGTTTAATGTGAGGGCGATGTCCGGTTTTCACGGCGAATGTTTGTGATAGCATTATGGCTCTCAGTAGGCTGTGATGGGTAGTATTCCTATGGGTATCCATTCAGAGATCCTTAAGTCCTGATCTGTACTCCTTGGTGCTTACTCGTGTCGTGTTGAGTCTTGTTTTGTTATTGTGGGTGTTGACGCACTTTATAGCAAGTTCTACAGGAACAACGCACTTCGTCTTGGCTCGGTTTCTGTGGGTGTTCGGGAATCGCTCTAGTTTCTATCTGAATTCTGTTGTGGCGACATCACTCCCTTCCTGTCGCGTATTATTACTATGCTTGGTACTGACTTGAATTTCATGTGTACTCTTCCTATGACCGACCACGTGTTGCTTCATAAACGTCCAGTTTCTGTAGGGTCCACGAGGTCTACGCAGCTCATCAAAAGAATGTTGTACTTTGTCACCAACATATTGTCCTACCATGGAGGAATATATTCTACCATGTATATTGCCACTGTGTATTTGTTCTCTTTTTTGCACATGGTTCATTTATGTGTAAAATTCGATTTATTAAATTGCATTTTCTAGCTAAATAACTTATTAGGCGAGATTTCCGTGATAAGTCAATATAATTCCTTAACTGTTGTTCTCCGGGTTGCCGACCTTTAAGTTTCTCTTAAGCGGTCACACAAACGTCTGAAAACATTTGAGTCATATCTCGGGGTAAACAAATATTTACTATAGTGAAACACGTGCGACCTACTCTTCGCTGATATACAAGCTGTAACACGAACATTTTTGTATAACAAAGCTTGTAAAAAACAAATTGATCATTGAATAAGTTTTCTGGTTGAAAGTGTTAAAATTGGTTGTGATGCGGTACACACTAAAAATTATGTAGT